GCAGCCTGCGTTATCTGACACTGCGTTATATATGCGTTATATAACGTTATATGCGTTATATATAATTAATTAGTTAATTAATTAGAGTGGTATTGGGTACTGTTTTATTTTATTTATCGGGTGGAGCCAATAAACAAAACAGCAGAAGTTAAATTTCTACGATTGTGCTGAACCTACCCCCCCGCCCCCGGCAGATGAGAGAGTAATTTTCAAATGTGAAAGCATTCCAGATGTAACACATGTTTAAATGACTTGGGAATCATGGGGACCTACGGTAGCAAGATAACCATGAAGTCATAATTTTCATGTTAAGAATGAATAAATATAGCATATTATCAATCAAATAAAGTTTGAACATCTAGGAAAATAAGAATTACATGTGCTGCAAAATGTTGCAAACTGCCAAAGAATTGTTGAATTTTAAAGTTCCATCTCTTAATAGCTCCAAACTAGAGGAATTATGCCGTATGAACCAAGGATGAATCAGTTGAGCCATACAGCCTGCATTTTGAGTTTTTCTTTCAGAATTAAAAATATTTTAATTGTGGAGTGTATGAAAATTCAACACAGATTTCAAGAGCTCCAAAATTTCTTGATTAGTGAAGCAAGTAAAATGAAATACCATGTGTGCTCTAACCTAACCTCCATAAAAGGAGAAGAAGATACAAAATAAAATACAAACAAGAAACCTGCTGAGAAAGAAATTAAAGAAACAACACTCTTCACAAAATAATATAAGATATCTTGATGTAACTCAAATCAAGTGAAAGACCTGTATGACAAGACCTTCAAGTCTCTGAAGAAAGAAATTGAAGAAGGTATTAGAAGAGGGAAAGATCTCTCATGCTCATGGATTGGTAGGATTAACATAGTAAAGATGGCCATCTTACCAAAAGCAATTTACAAATTCAATACAATTCCCATCAAACTACCAGCACAATTCTTTACAGACCTTGAAAGAGCAATTCTCAACTTCATATGAAAAAACAACAACAACAAAAAATACCCCACAGGATAGAAAAAAAAAAAAAGTCCTGTACAATAAAAGAACTTCTGGAGTATCACTATCCCTTATTTCAAGCTGTACTACAAAGCAATAGTAATAAAAACTTCATATCATGGGCATAAAAACAGACAGGTTGACCAATGGAACCAAATCAAAGACCCAGAAATAAACCCATACACCTACGGACACTTGATTTTTTACAAAGAAGCCAAAACCATACACTGGAAAAAAAAAAAAAAAAAAAAAAGAAACTTCAACAAATGGTTCTGGTCTAACTGGAAATCTGCCTGCAGAAGAATACAAATAGATTAATATTTATCACCCTGCAAAAAAACTCAAGTCCAAGTGGATCAAAGAAATCAATATAAAACCAGATATACCAAATTTAACAGAAGAAAAAGCGGGGAAAAGCCTTGAACTCATCATCACAGGCGACAGCTTTCTGAACAGAACAGCTCAGACACTAAGGTGAACAGTTTTAGTTGCATGAGAGATCATGCAACTAAAAAGCTTCTGCAAGGAAAGGGACACTGTCAGTAAGACAGAAAGTAAGCCTACAGAATGGAAAAAGGGCCTTCACCAACCCTACGTCTGATAAAGGGTTAATATCCAAAATATATAAAGAACTCAAGAAATTAAACACCAACAAACTAAATAATCCAATTAGGGGGTGCAGCCTTGCCAGGCCATAGAGGAAGACAATGCAACCAGTCCTGATGAGACCTGATAAACTAGGGTCAAATAGAAGGGGAGAAGGATATTCCCTATCAGTGGACTAGGGGAGGGGCATAGGAGGAGATGAGGGAGGGAGGGCGTAATTGGGAGAGACTAAGGGAGGGGGCTACAGCTGGGATACAAAGTGAATAAATTGTAATAAATGACAATAATAAAGAAAAAAAGAAAAAGGAAAAAATGGGGTACAGAGCTAAACAGAAATCTCAACACAGGAATCTCTAATAGCCAAAAAGGACTTAAAGAAATTTTAATGACCTTAGACATCAGGGAAATGCAAATCCAGACAACTGTGAGATTCCATTTTACAACATTCAGAATGGTCAAAATAAGAAACTCAAGGGACAGCACCTGTTGGCGAGGATGTGGAGAAAGGGGAACCCTCCTCTATTGCTGTTGGGAGTGCAAACTTGTACAACCACCGCGGAATCCACTTGGCACTTTTTCAGAATATTGGCAATAGCTCTACTTCTAGACCCAGCTATACCACTCCTGGACATACACCCAAAAGATGCCCCACCTACACAAGGACACTTGATCGGCTATGTTCATAGTAGCTTTATTCTTAATATCCAGAAACTGGAAACAACCAACTAAAGAATGAATAAAGAAAATGTGGTACATTTACATAACCAAATACTACTTAGCTATTAAAAACAAGGACATCATGACATTTTCAGGTAAACGGGTGAACGTAGAAAATTTCATCCTGAGTGAAGTAACCCAGGACCCAGAAAGACACTCATAATATGTTCTAACTTGTAAGTGGGATATTAGTCATAAAGTAGAGGATAACCATGCTAAAATCCACAGACCCAAAGAAGCTAAGTAACAAGGAAGGACCAAGGGAGGGTGCTGGAATCTCCCTCAGAAGAAAAAATAAAATAGACATGTGAAAGAGACAGAGGGAGGGATCTAGGTGGGAGAAGGGGCAGGGAGAGGAATGGGGGGTAGGGAGCAGGTGTGTGGAGAGTGGGGGAGCAGGGAGAGAGAATGAAAACTGTGGGAGGCACCTCTGGGACAGTGGAGGTTCCTGGGAGTCTGTGGGGTGATCCAAGCTGAGCCGCCTAGCAGCAGAGGACATGGAGCCTGAAGTTAGCGCCTCCTGTAGCCAGGTGGGACTTGCAGTGGAAGAGAGGGACACCAAAAAGCCTTCAACCTGAAATTTGTCCTGCCTACAAGAAATGTAGAGATAAACATGTAGCAGAGACCGAGGGAAGGGCCAACCAATGACTGGCCGAACTTGAGACCTTCCCCATGAGAGAGAGCCAACCCCTGGCACTACCAATGACACTCAGTTACCCTGGCAGACAGAACCCTCACATAACTGTCCTGTGAGAGTCTTCACCCAGAAGCTGATGGAAACAGAAGCAGTGGCCAACAAGCCAAACAACACTCAGAGCTCAAGGATTCTTGTGGAAGAGTTGGGGAGAAGGACCGAGAGGGTCAGAGGGGTCAAGGATATCACAAGAAGGCCTACAGAGTAGAGTAACGTGGGCCCATGGAGGCTCACAGAGACTGAACCACCAACCAAAAAGCACGCATGGGCTGGCCCTAGACCCCTACACATATGTAGCAGATGTGCCGCTTGGTCATCATGTGGGTCCCCAACAATTAGAGCGGGGGCTGTCTCTGGCTCTGTTGTCTGTCTTTGGATCCCTTTCCCCTAGCTGGGCTGCCTTGTCTGGCCTCAGTGGGAAAAGATGTGCTTAGTCCTGCTGAGATTTGAGGTGCCTGGGTGGGTTGGTATGAAAGGGGGCTCCCCTTCTCTGAGAAGAAGGAGAGGGAGGATGAGAGTGCGGCAATGAGGGTGGGACTGGGAGGAGAGGAACAGGGGGCTGGGATCAAGTTGTAAAGTGACTGAGTGAAAAACAGTGTTACTGGAAAATACATGCTCTTGTGGGGAAATGAGAACATGAGACTAAGGTGCCAACAAGACTTTCACGAACCCTTTCTTCATACCATAGCAGGCAAGCACAAACTTTTATTTCAGCTGCTTGAAGAAAAGGCCAAGAATCAAACCGCCCAGCCCAGCCCAGCCCCGGACCATGGATAACAACATGAACTGACTGCCGGTTAATAACAGTGTGTGCAAAGTCCAGTAGACAGAAATGAACACTTCGTCCTGTGCTTCCTTTAACACCTTCCCCCGGGTCAGATGGGACCTAGGGGAGCAGGAGCAGGGGACAGGCCTGGTGGCATGTCCACACTCCTTGTTTTCTGCTCACTCTACTGTTGCTGGTAGTTCAGTGATGTGTATGGATGTGTAAGGATCTTAATGGACCATTTGTGTTACTGCAATCTACACAAATTCCCAAATGCTCACTCTCACACTTCACAATGGGCCTTTCATAAGTCCTCCAAAGACAATTAGTCCAACAGTATACCACAAACCTCATTTTCTCAGACATTGTGGCCAAACTGATAGCTTTCCAGCCCTGACTCTATCACTACGGCCTCCCCCTCTTCACCTCACCATCTATCCATGCTCTTTAGAACATCAGGAAACTTCTCCCTAATTCTCTTTCGCCTTTGACCTGAACTCTGGAAGTGCACGCCTGTGCTCTTGGATGCTCTCAACTCCGAATTCGGAGGTGCCTCTCTCTTTCCTGGTTACCTTCTCTGGAGAGATAAATCAGGAACCTGCCTCAGTGTGTTTGGAGTACCGGGAGATACTTACTGGTCAAAACACTTGACTTTACAAATACCTGTGAGGAAAGGGAGGAGACGTGACTGAGAGCCCCGGCACTGTGTTGACAGCATGCCTCAAATAAATCTCCCTGTCCACACCTCCTCTTCCTGCCGACTGTGATGCCAAGTTTGGGGTGTGGGATACTGAGCTAAGCCTCAGAAGCCCTGTACATAGGCTCTGACAGATACAACTCATGGATCTCACACCCCTTTTCTCATAAGAGATTTTGAATTCTGAATATTTGAATAACAAACTCAACTCTTACATTGGTGAAAACTAGTTTAAGCCTACATATGTCTCTTGATATTTAAAAGTCTAAGAACAGAGAAGATGAAGGAACAAAAAATTTATTCTAAACAAATTAACTGTTTGACTGTTTTATTATATTCAAGTACTTGGACTAAAGTGTAATTAAAAAAATATTCCAGTTCATTAGTTACATGAAAACGGACTTTAAATTTTAATGAGATTTCGACTTTTGTTCCATACTAAGGATTGCTGTAAGAGGGTCGATAAAGGAAAAGAGGAGGAGGAACAGTGAAGACAATGGTGAGAGGGGCCGAGACTCACCGCGTCTCATCGATGTAAACAGCCTCCAGCACTGACGCTGCATATTCAATGTTCTTCTTGAGGTCCACAACGTTGATGTCACCTTTGTCCAGCTGCTTCACTAAGCATCTTAGTCTATTTCCAAAAAAGAGAAACAGATTGTTTCTAACCAACTAGAAATGGCTAGATGTTTAACAAAAAGTGAAACAGTTTACGTAACTACATCTAGGTCATTATACAGAGATATTTTCATTTTTTGTATAAGTAGAATCAATCTCTCCAATGTAAGTAATTATTAGAAATTATCAGAAATATTAGCAGTGTTGGTATGCAGGGTGAGAACCATATTCAAGGCCAGTTTTGTTGAAAATTCAAGAAGTGTTCAAGACACCTTCCCAAGAGTACATTTTCAGGACCGGAATTTTATCTCTGATCATTCTGCTTCCTTGGAGCTGGCCATGTTGCCTTCTGAAGGCACCTTGACTGTTGTTCACTGTATACAACACAGGGAGAAATACAAAAGGCAAAGCTGGCTGCCAGGAGGCGAGCAATCTGTACCAGCGCCCCCTCTCCTCCATGATACTCTACAAGTGACAGCAATGGACAGAAATACCAAACCCAGAAACCAAAAGAAATCTTTCTCACTTAAATCATTCCCATCTAGCATTTGATACGGTGCTAAACATTAACCAACACTAGTTTGCTACAGCAGATTTTTAGTCAAGGTGAATCTGAAAAAATATTTTCTCTTGGCTTTGCCCACAGCACCATGAGTTTCAGTTCTTACAGGAATCTGAAATGTGAAGCAAAACTAAGACAGGCCTAGAATCCTAATCGACACAGACTCTGAGATGATTAAGGTCCATATCTTAAGACCCGGAATTTGGAGGTTATTGTCACACAGCCATACATAGCCAGTACAGTGCGATAGTACAAATGACCTGGATGTGAACTTGGCACTTTAGGAAACGTCTAAGCACAGGTTTCTGGAAACGCTTCCTCTGGTTGAACCAGAGCCTCATTGCTTGTCAAATGTACAATGTTTCTCTGAGTGTGAGGACCACACCCCCTTTCTGTACATGCTACAGATAGGCAAGGTGAAGACAACTTAGCCATTTCCCTAAACTGTCAGACAATTAAATTCCATTAGAGGAGAAGGCAGAACACACCCACCCCTGAGCACCAGCAAAAATAGGATAGCTTCAATTTTCCGCCAGTTTATGTGGGGTGATTTCCAATACCAAGCTTTAGAGAATTTGAGAACGGATTGGAACTTTGCAGAAGGCGGCCAGCATTCCTCCACCAGAAGAACTGCTTTCTCTGTAGAAAATGCCACACCTTCACTACAACTTCTCAAGGGCCTACGAGTGGTGACGCTCTCACAACATTCATTTTGTGAAACAGAATGCTCACAGACACATCACAGAGTTAACACAGTGAAACAAAGTCCAACTTAAGGAAAGTCCAGCTCTAGCAAGCTATGTGGGAAGGAAATGGTAAGCCTAGCTTTGAGGCTTTATGAAGCACTGTCAAATCGTCTTTTATTTATGAAAGTACCGAAGATTTCCGCTTCCATTCTTGTACTAGTGTGAATATTTATCACAAATATATTCTCCTTGTGAAAGGGGTTGAGTGCTGGCTCATTGTAGCGGGCTGTACTTTACAAACAGTAAGTTTTCCACATGATGATCATTGGTAACTGAATAATATTCTGAATATACACACACACACACACATCCACACACACACATATGTGTCTCTGTGTGTGTGTGCCATATCTTCATTTACTCATTGAGATGGGATGCTGAAGTTGTTTTGGTTTGGCTTTTAGAGCAGTATTGCAAGAAACGTAGTACATGAGTCTCCTTCATACTCTGATATTCCATTGCTTTACACATTGCTGCTGAGCTGTTTCTTCCAAACTGAAAAGCTTCCCTCACCAGGGACTCACTCCATCAGTAGCCTGCTGCAGTGAGAGGCTGTGATACACGAGCAATGAGCGTGCCCCTCAGAAGTGTGAACAAGGCTTACAAGCGAAGATATTTTCCTCCCTAAAAGTCTGACATACATATTCAGGGGTGATTAGGACCCCCCTCTCACCTCTTTTGTCTATAAGTACAAAGAAGTCATTACTGAATGAGCATGCACATATGTATAAAGCATTTATGAATAAGTTAAAAACATGAGGATATACACGCAGAGGAAAAAACTATTCAACTTCTCCACTCTTAGTAGAATCATTTTATCATCACCTTTATCTGCTTATGCTCTTTTTTTTTTTTTTTAACTAGGCTTCCAGGTATAATTGTAAAAATGCCTATCTCATAAATTCTCTGAAGATACATGTTCATACTTAGAAACCAAGCTATTCCTTACACACACACACTGAAATTCTTATTTGTTCTGACACTGAGTCACACATTTAGGAGACATGTGAAGAGGCAGAAAAGTGCATCACTAACAAAGTGTTGAGGAGGCGTTTGTGAGAGGAGTCATGGGGTCACAGGTGACAGGACAGCAGGGGAGGCTAATTCTTTGCAAGAAAATAAAACAAAAAGAAAGACATTTTGGCCCGAATACCACAAAGATGACCAAAAATTATCTACTAGGTGTTTAAAATACAATTATTACAATAAAATTATAAGAAGATCACTATGCTAATAAATGAAGCAACTCTGGTCAAATGAACCTAAATTTCAAGAAGAAGAAAAAAAAAACTGAATTTGTGTCGAAAATCCTTATCTAAGAACCAAGAAGTAGTGTTAGAGTTGAAAGAAACTCAGTAGTGAGTCTAAGGCTCACATTAAGTGTGAACACATGAAGGACAGCTTGAAGTCACACAGAGCTGTCAGGACAAGACGTCACTGTGCCCCTGCAGGAAATCCTGCCGGCCCTGGAGACTAAAGCAACATAAAGTAGCAAGGAGAACCCATTAGAAAATGAAAGTATCTACCCAAGGGTCAATGATCAGGAAATTAACGCCTGCCTGTGTTTCATCAAAGCAGCAGCAGCTGCAGATTTAAAGCCACTCAGACACTTTCTTTCATGGTACCATAGTATCAGTAAGTGATGCGTTACAGGCTATACAGATCCCTAAAAACCTGAACCACTGAAGAAAGCGAAGACAAGAAGATGTGGGCTCCATGGGTGGCTACTGTACATTTTCGGGACCACACGTGATAACGTACTGTATCCCAGGCTCTTATTAAAGGATAGATTTTAGGTACTTTCCTAGCCCAAACACATGTAACTATGCACTCCTTTTCCTGGGTGTCATAATGGTATCACTATGTGCTTATAAATGTGTATAAATAGCATATTTTATATGTCAAATGTGTACAACAAAACAGCATGTGATTAGCTTGATTACATTAGCTGTAAATGTACTTAGATACGATAATAGCATCCATTTAAAGGGACAAAATAAGCCTATTGACAAGAGAGTGTTGTCATCATCTCTCACTATTTGTGGAAGATTGTGGTCAGGACTCTGCAGACACCCAGATCTATGGCTACTCTAATCTTTAAGAAAATGCTGTAGTCTATACATCTATCCTGTGCAAACCTCCCCCCCCCCCCTGGTTATTTATAATCTTTAATGCGATTTGAGTAGTGTGTAAGCAGATTCTACACTGTATCCTGTAAGGCATAATGGCTGAAGGAAAAGCCTGTGAATGTCCAATTCACATGCAGTATTTCCTCATTGTTTTCAAACCATAGGTGGTTGAATCAAGAGACATGGAACCCCGAGCCCAAAGCACCTGCCTCTATGATGAATGGGCTTTTCTAAGTCTAAAATTGTACCCAGCTTTTCTCTAAGAACATGACAGGTTAGTAAAGTATCTACCACTACTTCAAGGGATGTTAGCTTATCGGTTCCCAGAAACAGGGATTACTTCCCAACACGTAAAAGAATTCCCTTTTAAGTCCATAGATAGTTAGGAAGACCTTCAAGATCCACTTCCTTCTCCTTGGAGACAAAACAAACAAAATTAACATCTGTACAACCATTTAACACTAGGACAGAAAGAACTAATCATTTCCACCTAGTCACTGTTAACAGCTCAAAACCATTAGGATTTAAATAAATGCATACTAAAATCTAATAAATGTATTTGAAGCTGTTTGTCTTGATGAACAGAGAGGCTTTTGCCCACTAATGAGTTATTTACTCAAATCAAGGAGACAGGCTGGGAATACCGAACAGTCATTACAGCAGCTCTGGGCAGCAGCTAACATCCCGGATGTCCTACTCCTGGACTTGAGAGAGCGCATTTAGCACTCAGCTCATCTGTACTTCGTTAAATTCCTCCCGTTTGTCCCCGTGTCTCTGCAGTTCTCTATTATGCTCCTTACACTCGGAGTCTGACCTGGGAGAGGTCCATCTTAATTCAAAAGCAAGGGGCATCAGAGGAAGGAGAAGTGAGGGGGAGGGAAGGTTTGTGGCGCTTGTTATTCTCCCTGAAGGACCCTCCTCCCCTTCCTCCCTCTTTTCATCCTCTTCTGCCCCACCTCCTCTTCTCTTCTACAGAGGAACCTTCTCTAGAAGCCTCCACAGGGTTCTCTTTCAGTCCTCTGACTCAGTCTCTCTTTTTCTGTGTATTTCTCTGTGTGTCTCTGTCTCTCTGTCTCTATCTCACTCTCTCTCTCTTCCCTACCTCATCTTTGCCTATCTTTTTCCAGTCTCCACCTCCTTGCTGTGCTCTTCTCCTTTCTCTGATTTTATAACCGTGCTGTTCCTTGATGCTTCTGGTCTACGGGCATCCCTAAGGTGCCACGCTGCTAAGTCAGAGGGGTGTACGTAACTCCGGAAGCAGCCTAGCGCCCGCAATCTCCCCATGGGAGCAATGCCATTCCCTCTTCCCAGGGATGCTTAGTACAGGAAGGATACAGGTGCGGAGGGAGGGAGGCAGGCTTCCTACTCTCCCCCTCCATGGCTTCACAGAAAGGAGACCTGTTTTCTAGATGGTCTGTGGTGATTGGCATCTAGCCAATGGCAGCGTTAGAAAGGGTAAGCGACCCCACAAAAAGACCAGGCCTAGCCGCCGTCTAGGAATTGCTCGATAATGTAGAAACGTTAGTAATCCACGGGCACATTGACTCTCTCATACTGGAGGAGTCTGATCCTGGCAAAG